TCTCTGTATTCCCTGTCTTCCTTGTTATTTCTGTAAATCCTGTCTCCTGCAATTTCCATATTTTTCTCTTTATATCACAAAAATGATTAAGACAAACACCCCCACACTTTATTATGAAGTGCTGAATACGCCCCTTCTGCTTACGTGACATTTTTTACCCACGTATGTTAAGCACCGCTTCTTAGGTGCGTGTGAGTGATTTCTCATACACACGCACCTAAGAACCGTCATCTTAGCTGCGTGTGTACTCCATTTTAAAGATAAGCACTCTGCTTAGCTTGAAAGTGAGTAATTTAAAGGTAGCGTTTAAAGGTAGTGCAGAGAATACGGTTAAGAACCAATTTTTTTGAGCAAATGTATAGGCTAAGAGCCAAAGACATAAACAGAGAGGTGTTCACTCTCCATTTATGATCAGATTAAGATTTCAAGATGGAATCCAATCAAACTCTCAGAGTGCCCTCCTTCTACTCCCCAAACTTGCATTTCTATCAATGCATGAAGGGTCACTTTGAAATTGCGATTACAATCCCAGTGTTCGCGAAAAATGAAAGGGGGTTAACAGATAGAAGTAAGATTAGTAGCGATCAGAAGCGCTTTTTTATCGCTATATCCCTTTTCATTTTTTGCGAACACTCCCTTTAAATCGGATTTTCTAGGGGTTATAATTAATTTGATAAGACCGTACACGTAATTAATGAAGTGACCCTTTAGTGCATGTGGCATGTCCGTAGTGGAAATTTTTTTTCATTGTTACTCGGATCTAAATTTGGAGACACCTAAACAAGAATCGCATATACCACTGTAAAAAATGAAAGGTTACCAGAAATGAAGACTAGGTCCTATTTACATTATAATGTGTCATAGATATTTTTATTTCCCAAACATTCCTTAATGAGAGTAAATAAGCTGTGACTGTGATAAAACATTTTTATTTCAAGATTTTTTAATATATGGTTTACAATATATTTGACTAAATAATTATGGTAAAAAGTTGGTTGTAAAAATGCCCGCTAGGCTGAATATGGAAATATTATATTCCTCAAAAAGTGTTTTCGTCATGAATTAAAAATTTCCAAGATATTAATTCAAAGGTAAATAAGACAAACCTGAACCGTAACATTTTAAAGTTTTGATAAAAATTAATTTTCGTTTACTTGCTTATTATATTTGAAGAAAATTGCTCTTGGTAAACACATTTTGTAATAAATGAGTGTGGAAACTAATGAAAAACAAATGAGAGCGTAAATGAAAATATAAAATATATCTGATTTTTGCGAGTATATTAGTTGAATTATTAAAATCACAACATGCATCCAAGTTTTCGATATAACAGATGCGTGCACTGTAGAAACTAGATAGGAGATATACAAGATACTGTAGAAACTGTATCTAGGTGACATACAAGATACCCTGTAGACTTTGTATCTTTATGATCTATAAGATACACTGTAGAACCTGTATCTAGGTGACATACAAGATACACTGTAGAAACTGTATCTTTATGATCTACAAGATACACTGTAGAAACTGTATCTAGGTTACATACAAGATACACTGTAGAAACTGTATCTTTATGATCTACAAGATACACTGTAGAAACTGTATCTATATGATCTACAAGATACACTGTAGAAACTGTATCTATATGATCTACAAGATACACTGTAGAAACTGTATCTATATGATCTACAAGATACACTGTAGAAACTGTATCTAGGTGACATACAAGATACACTGTAGAAACTGTAAATAGGAGACATATAAAATAAACTGTAGAAACTGTATCTATATATGATCTACAAGATACACTGTAGAAACTGTATCTAGGTGACATACAAGATACACTGTAGAAACTGTAAATAGGAGACATACAAGATACACTGTAGAAACTGTATCTATATGATCTACAAGATACACTGTAGAAACTGTTAATAGGAGACATACAAGATAAACTGTAGAAACTGTATCTATATATGATCTACAAGATACACTGTAGAAACTTGATCCCGTCAATTTCTTGAAAAAGTCCATTGATCTAAAAAATGTCTCTTTTAATGGTTTATATTTTATTACACTGTACAGTGTACAAGAGAACATAAATAAGGAAACTTTCGATGCAAGATAATTAACTATTCACAGAGAAAAAAGTAAGTAGAAAAATGTAATCTTAAAAAAAATCAGAAAATTTTTGATGATTTAAAGTTTACTTCTTGCCAGAAGAAATAAATGTGAACCAAAAAATAAATACTAAAACTTGAAACACATTTAAAATATCATGAAAATTGAAACATAAAAAACTGTAAAACGCCGAGATGTAAGAAGGAAGGTTAGGGCTTTTATGGTTTGTTTGCGTTCTACTGTGACGTATTAGAACAGGTTTAGATATAGTTGTTATGTAAACAAACGATAATGTCCTGCTAATAGACATTATTAGCCTTTATTTATTGTTTATACTAAAACTAGTTCATGAGCTGTCCTAATACGTCATAACAAATCATAATAAAATCCAGCACACACCCCAATTTTAAGAAATGTTTTAATTGATCGGTATTGAAAACAGGGAGGGGGATATGAGGTCTTAGCCACCACTGGATTGGTGAAAACTTTGCCACCCCTGGATAAGTGAAAACTATGGTTATCAGGGGGTACTTAGCCCTCAAAAGAGGTTGACCCCCCTCCCCCTATAAACGCCCCTCTGATTGTATTGAACTGTAACCTGTGTGGTTTCCCTGTTAAAATCCAAGGTCTGAGTGCACAAATCCTGAATATTATGTAGCACCCCGGCATACCTTAAACATTGGAATCATGTTTTTTTTTGTGATTGGTATTAAATCCCTCCCTCTCTCTCACTTCATTAGTATTTTCCTCTTTTTTGTTGTTGTTGAAGAGTTCAAACTTTTGATGAAAAAAGGATTATTAGGGAGAAAATTCAAAATATCCAAATTACATATTTATAAGAAGAATTTATAAGAAAAGTTCAATGAGCTAAAAAATATTGCTGTCAAAACTGTGGAGTAAGAAGGTGTAAGACTCAAGTTGGGATTTTAAATAGTTCAATTAAAATGAATATAATAAGTTAATTTTCAGGCATATTCGTAAAACTATTAGGTTGATAAAAACCTCAAATACGCATAAGATGTCTTAAAATGCCGTTTTCTTAGTCTACAGGTTCATTCCACAAGATATGGTCGTCGTCGAATATACAGGGTGGCCAAAACTTTTTTGAACAAATCCGTACAAAAATCCGTACATTTTCAGAAGAAATCCGTACAATCCGTACAATTTTCGAAAAAAAATCCGTACAATCCGTACAATTTTGTTTAAAAAAAATTCGTACAATCCGTACATTTTTTTAAACCAATCCGTACATTTTTTTTTAAATCCGTACATTTTTTTTAAATCCGTACATTTTTTTAAAAATCTGTACAATCAGTACAATTTTCGAAAAAAATCCCATTTTTGAAAAAAACATTAAAATTCAATTCTTCATTCATTGTCCTTTGTGTACAGTTCATGTAAGAGGGTTTTAACTTCTTCAGCAAGAATCAATCTGTAAAAAATTGGCTTCATACATATATACAAACTAAATACTGGGTACATGATACTAGGTGCATGATACTGGATACTGGATACATGATACAGGGTACATGATACAGGATACAGGATACNTATTCTCAAATAAACACTTCTTGGACATATCTCGAAAATTATGAATGAATTTTGATTGTCAATTGAAACATTAATCAATCTAATATTATTTAGAATGCAGAAAATAAGTTAAACTAACTTCATTTTGACGAGAATTTTTTTTAAATTTTCATGAAAAATTTGCTGAAATGAGTGAAAATTAAAAAAAACTGTGTATTTTCCAGGATAGAAATCCGTACAATCCGTACAATTTGAAAACAAATCCGTACAATCCGTACAATTTTAGGGTAAAAAAACAAACAATCCGCATAATCCGTACAATCCGTACATTTTGGCCACCCTGAATATACCTTTGCAATAAAGACGATTTTCTATTTTTTAAACAGCAGATGCATAAACATGATAATAAAGAGAAGTTGTCAATTAGCAGACTTTAATTTTAAAAATGCTGTCAGGGATCAAAGCATTATTAATAAAAAGTCGTCTTCATTGTATTGATATCATCGCTGACCATTTTACCGAATATCTACCTTGAGTAAAGAGTTTTCAGATCTTCAGGAACTAGAGTTTTCTCCGCCAGATGGCAATATTCAAGCCTTAAATGGAAATCTTTCCAGGGTCACTAGAAGAAACGTTGACACTTTCTTTACCAACATTTTTTCTAGTGACCATTTTACCGACGGAAAATAAAAAACTGTTAAAAACAATCAATCAAGATTTTAAGTCTCGAAACTATCAACCCTTTCCTTGCACTTTTATTGGTTTACTTTTAAAAATAAATTTGTTAGTCGTGCATTTTTAGTATTTTTATAATCATAATTTTAAGCCAAAGAGTAAGTTTAGAGGTTGACCTGAATCTTGCAGGAATCCGCTTCCATGAAACAATATCGAAATATTGATACAGGCCAACCTCGTGCAGGCTGGTCAGCTCGTCAGGGGATACTCCAGGCCATCTGGCTAACCATATCCGGTTCTATAATATAGCAAATACAGTCGTCTTCATAATAATAAGNCTCTCAAAGAGAAGACTAGCAGCGACTAGTAGGATACAGTTCCTTTAGTTTTATGAAACCTCCAGCTCCTCTCAAAGAGAAGACTAGCAGCGACTAGTAGGATATAGTTCCTTTACCTGTTTATGAAACCTCCAGCCCCTCTCGTAGAGAAGACTAGCAGCGACTAGTAGGATACAGTTCCTTTAGTTTTATGAAACCTCCAGCTCCTCTCAAACAGAAGACTAGCAGCGACTAGTAGGATACAGTTTCTTTAGTTTTATGAAACCTCCAGCTCCTCTCAAAGAGAAGACTAGCAGCGACTAGTAGGATACAGTTCCTTTACGTTTATAAAACCTCCAGCTCCTCTCAAAGAGAAGACTAGCAGCGACTAGTAGGATACAGTTCCTTTACCTGTTTATGAAACCTCCAGCCCCTCTCATAGAGAAGACTAGCAGCGACTAGTTGAATACAATCTCCTGGACTACTGTAGAAAAGGAAGAACAGAAGATCAGTGTGCTCCTAAAAGAGAGAAAATCAAATATGTTTTCCCATTCATAGGCACTAGAAATTTAAAGGAGGGAAGAAATAAAAAAAGTCAAATAAAATTTCGCTTCGTTCATTTATATTCTCGTGCATACCTGACGAATATTAATAGTTCTAATCTTCTGGCGGAGAACTGATGAGACCAGATATTCTTCAGGTACACTTAGATCCTAATTAGATAGATAGATAGATAGATATACTTAAATAAATGTGTTGAGTGTAATTGTATCAGGCATAAGAATTAAAAACGATGAGACGGAGAGTAGACATTTTTAAAGATTCATTTGAGACTATAAGACGTGTATACGGTGTATATCTATCTGCTGTATTAAATATAGATAGATACCTTATTAATTACACTTAATATGTGTTTACCTGAGCAAAAACATCCCCTGGTGAGAAATTAATGGTTTGAGGAGGGGCTACAGGAACAGATAGGTTAGAGGTTGCTTTATTACCAATCCTAGGAATGTATTGTAAGTAAATGGGATTACATGTTAAATGGGATGTTAGATTCACGACGATCCCCTTTTATACCTTTGTCTGAATCAAGATGACGAAAACAACCATATTGTTAAAGCTGAAAATCGAGTGTCTAGATAACCAGCACTCAATTGTCTGCTTAAAAAATAGGAATATCTCTTGTAGCGGCCTTAAAATATACAAGTCTTACATTAAAGACAATACAATAACAAAACGAAATTAGAATAGGCTAGGCTGGGAACCCTGCGTTGCCCAGGGTACTTATAGTTACTCCCGCCGTTTACCCGCACTTGTTCGTATATTACAATTTTAGTTACTTTTCTCGATAAAAAGTCGACCCACTCAACTTAGAATCTCAAAACCAAGCTAAGAACATTCCCTTGGCTTTCCCCAGTTCCACAATCAAACTTTGAGACAAATTAGGTAAGGGGTTCCTGAGTTATGATCGGACAAACAAACAGACAAACAAACAGAGATTACAACTTTATTTATATAGATATTGGACATCTTGTTACGTTAGTGGAATAAAGAAATTATAAAAAGAAAACAGAAATATCATGTCCATTAACATTTTTTCCCCATCCATAAAACGCCCTCTCCATAAAATGTTGAATCATGTCTCAGCATACAATAATATCTATAAACCTTCTTGCTGGCCCGAACATCTGATAGTGGGAACTATTTTTGTAAATATCCTTAATCACTTCCTCAACTCCTTAAAAAATTAAAAAGTTATTTTTTATAAGATAATTACTCCAGAACCCTGAACTTGAGTCAAGATCAGTAGCAAGGACAAAAAAAGCCATAAAATTGGTCAAGATCAGTAATTTGGTTAAGGATTCTTAACTTCATGCTAATGATCTGGGCTTCAGTCCATAAAAACTAAATTAACAAAAGGATCACCTGAAACTAGAAGACGACAATTATTGTCTACTGGTTTCTCAGTACCAACTCCGCTAAAGGGTACAAAATTAGAACATTCTATAATATTGACTAAACGCGACATTTAATATAAATTTTTAACAAAGCAAAGAAATTGGGCCTTTGTCACCAACTCCTGATATACTTATTTCACATCTTTGCAACCCAAAGTCGTAGACTTAAGATATTTCAAACAAATTCTGTTAAATTAAATAATTTAAGTTTGAAATATCACTTCATTAGGTTATTACTGCATCACTACATTAGATTGAAAAGATCTAGGGATTAGAAAATTTTAAGATTGAGGCAAAGACTCAATTCCTTGAATACCTAAAGATTGATTTGATAGATACAGGTTCCAGCTTGCTATGACCGAACGGCGGAAAGTTGACCGGTGTGGGCAGCAAATTAGACCGGAGACAACCAATCTTCCAAGCAGCATCCGGTACAAGAGGCGGAAACCTATCCGCCGTCCTGTATTGCAGTTTCTTTTTTATCAGCAAAAAATATTAGAACCACTGAACGGATCCGGGTCCATGTGGCAAAATTTCAACCAAAAACCTTGAAAAAGTAACATCTCATCGTAAACCAATAAGATTCATGTGTTGAATTCTTAAACCTTGGAATTTTACAGAGAGAGCCAGAAAACTCTGGAATAGGAAGACGAGACTTTAAAGCTCAAATTACATTTCAAGCTCAAATTGTGACTTTGAATAGTCCAATGAACATGAGATACAGCAATTGTGGATTCAGACCAATCTCAACTTAAAGAAGCTCTAAAACAGCTACTTTTTTATATTTATTTTAATAAAACTGTTCCTGTTTGATCTAGAAGAAGCTGCTCCAAGATTAAGGTTTGGTAAGCAGTTGTTGTTATTATTCTCATCCTCAGAGTATGCATCCTCTTCAACCAGATTAAGAGGGAGCAGACTACTAGGATCCTAAACATGATTGAGAGGGAGCAGACTACTAGGATCCTAAACATGATTGAGAGGGAGCAGACTACTAGGATCCTAAACATGATTGAGAGGGAGCAGACTACTAGGATTCTAAACATGATTAAGAGGGAGCAGACTACAAGGATCCTAAACATGATTGAGAGGGGGCAGACTACTAGGATCCTAAACATGATTGAGAGGGAGCAGACTACTAGGATCCTAAACATGATTGAGAGGGAGCAGACTACTAG